AACTACAGTCACCCTAAAGGACTAGAGAACACCAGACCTTATTCCTCCTGTCTAGCTACAATTTTTTATCCTTTAAAAGAGTTTTGCTAGCAATATCTGCAATGAGTAGGGACTAAAAATCAATTTAATTTAATGAGGAAGTCAGAGCACAGATAAACCAAATAAAGGCAAGCCCTGCACAGGTGCTTCCTAAAATGCATATGCAGCATGGCAGAAAGTCCCTTAGCATGGGTGGGGTGGGGGGAACGCCTCAAGTATGGAGCTCACAGGTTCTGTGAGACCAATTACAGTCTCACAGACTGTAACCACTGGGGACCAATTACAGGCAAGGCACTGCGCTTCCTGCTGAGCACGGAGCGAGGTAACACAGAAATGACCATCACCTTTATGCAGTGTATTGTTTTTAGTAAGGCATCCTTTAAATATAGAAATACAGCTGTCCCTTGGCTTATGCAGGGGGGTGGGTTACAGGATATGTATATAAAATAATGGAGCATTTTCATATAATCTAAGCACATTCTCTTGTATACTTTAAGTCATCTCTAGATTACTTATAATACCAAACACAAAGCAAATGCTGTGTAAATAGTTGTTATTCTGTATCATTCAGGGAATAACGATAAGAAAAAGAGTCTGTGCATGTTCAGTAGAGACACAACCATGTGTTGCGTATTTCAGAATATTCCGATCTGAGGTGCTTGAATCCACACATGCAGAACCCATGGCTGCAGAGGGCTGACTGTATACAATAAATTCCTGATTTTTTTAAGTCCCAGGGTATGCCTGTCAGTTTAGGTTCATTTACATGGCATTGAAAGACAATATTCCTGCTGGGCACAGTGGCTCACGCCTATAATCCCAGCACTTTGGGAGGCCGAAGAGGGCAAATCACCTGAGATCAGGAGTTCGAGACCAGCCTGGCCCACATACTGAAACCCTGTCTCTACTAAAAATACAAAAATTAGCCGGGCATGGTGGCGGGTGCCTGTAATCCCAGCTACTTGGGAGGCTGAGGCAGGAGAATTGCTTGAACCTGGGAGGCAGAGGTTGCAGTGAGCTGAGATTGTGCCACTGTACTCCAGCCTAGACAACAGAGCGGGACTCCCTCTCAAACACAAAAACAAAAAAACAATATCCCATATCTCAGTGACTTAAAATAAGACAGCTTTCTTCTGGCTCTGGGTTGGGATGGCAGGAGACTCTACTCCTGTAGATACTCAGGGATCCAGATGACAGAGCAGTATTAGAGCAAACTAAATTTTGGCTCTCCAAGGTTCCATCCCAAGCGACATTCACTCCAATTTCAGCACTCAGTGAAGTCACACCACCACACTTCATTTTGAAGGCACCTCTATCCTGAGTCCAGAAGTGGAGAGAATGGGAGACATCTGGCAGGCATGCTGGTGACCAACACACGAGGAGAAGCACATCAGAATTCAAGCTTCTGGGTGAGGAGACCTCCCCTGGTCGGGGTACTCAGAGATTGCCTCCTTCAGGGTATTACACAGAAACAGTTCTGAGTGACTAACCAAAGAGTGGGGGTGGAGATGGAGAGCATTGCAGGCTGAGATTGCTACACGTGTAAAAGATCTGAGGTGGAAATCACTGTGGCTGCTGGAGACATTTCAGAGGGGCAAGTGAGAATCGAGACAGAGAAAGAACCACAGCCTGGGAGACTGAGCTCCTTATAGATATTGAACGATTTCCTAAAAATCTAAGAAAGCATGGTAAACGCTTTCATCACAAAAGGAATCAATCCGGTATGCCTTTTGGAAAGAAGAGAGAAGTTGGAGGAGTAAATCTGGAAAGACATTTAGGAGTTTGGCCATTTTCTAGGAGAAAGGTCTGAGAGCAGTTAGGGCTGCTGGTGGTGACACAGGGAGGCAGCCGCAGATTCCAGGTACATTGCACCTCACACTTAGTGAGATGGGGAGACTGGAGGATAAGACGGGAAGCAAAACTGTGAGCTCAGCTTCAGGCCCATGTTTCAGTGCCTGTGGCTTTCCCAGTGGAGGCGGAAAATAGACACTGCGTCCTGGGGCTTGCAGAAGACTTGAGCTGGAGGCACAGGCACAAGACGTATCAGCTGTGAATGGCCATGATAGGCTTTGAATCCAGGAGTTTGAATCATGGAAAGCATAGGATGGAAATATAGGAGGATTCCAACCTCCTACATAGCTAAAGTCAGTTAGAAGTGGTCAAGGAAGCAAAGAAAATAAGAACTTAGCCAGAGAGACAGCAGAATAACCCAGAGATTTTGTGGCCGCTGAAGCCAAGGGAAAAGGGCGTCAAGAGAAGTGGTAGCCATACTGGAGGTCACCAGGAGACATGAGAAAGGAAGTGTGCCTCTAGGGCTAGTGACATTAACATCTCCTGAAATAGAAGATATTGTCCACAGAAGAGCCATTCATATTAGACACCAGCTGAACAGACAGAAGCGAGAAACAGGTGTAGAAATTGAGCATGTTTACGTAAGTTTTCTGGAATTTTGTTTTAGAAATTAGAAGCTGGAGGAAGATTGGAGGTCAAAGGTACATTAAAATTATAAATAGATGTGTATATGTGTATGTGTGTGTGTGGATGTGTGAGAGACTTGTTGTATTTGAAATGCTATTGGGGAAAATTTCATGGAGAGATAGTAGCTGAAAACGCAGAAGTAGAAAATAGTCACTATACAATGTCTCTGAAATAGTAGGAAGCGAGGTACCTAGAGCATAGGATCGATTACCGGTTTCTTTCTTTCTTTTTTCTTTTTTTTTTTTTCTTTTTCTTTTTTTTAGATGGAGTCTCCCTCTGTCGCCCAGGCTGGAGTGCAATGGTATGAACTTGGCTCACTGCAACCTCCGCCTCCCGAGTTCAAGTAATTCTCCTGTCTCAGCCTTCTGAGTAGCTGGGATTACAGGTGCCTGCTATCATGCCTGGCTAATTTTTGTATTTTTAGTAGAGATGTGGTTTCACCATTTTGGCCAGGTTAGTCTCGAACTCCCGACCTCAGGTGATCTGCCTGCCTCAGCCTCCCAAAGTGCTGGGATTACAGGTGTGAGGCCACCACACCCGGCCTCGATTACCCTTAAGTAGGAGGTACATTCTCTTCCATTGAAAAAGAGAAAGAGCAGAAAATAGGTGCACAGGCAAGCAGATCTGTATCCATTTTGTTGTGGGAAATTGCTTCCTCTCTGATGTTCTCTCTCTTTCTCTCTTTCTCTCTCTAGTGTGCTTCAAGTAGGGAATGATTAGTGAGTGATACTGTTTGCTAAGTAGTAAGAAAATAAAGAAGGGAAACACCGGAAGACACAATGTGTTCATAGAAAAATGCTGGCAATGTCTACAGGCATATTGCTCCCTGAGTTAGCCTTTAGTTTCCTCTCTTTTTTGCTCCTACCTAGATTTCCAGTTTAACAGACCTCAATCCTGGAAGTCTGTGTCTATGTTTTATATTTTAGGTGAGACTACACATAATATAATGCCTAAGAGTTCAACATAGAATACTAGCCTCTTTCACTAATAAATATCAAAGCCCTATTTCTGAGCATTCTGTGGAATTAGGGAAACAAGTGATTTAACTATAGTTAAAAAAAAATGGCAGGCTCTAGATTTAACATTTTCACCCTCATTTGATCTACCAATATTCAAGGAAAGGCCATACAAATCATTTTGCATGAAATAAAAATGTTGAACTTTTTCACATGTCAAAAATGCTTTGATGATGCAAACTTTTCTTACAGCTTGCATATTTGAAGGAATAAAAAACGATAAAGTTCAATCACTGATTTTTTCTCTTTTTATGGTGAAAGTTGAACATGAACAGTGCAGGTAGCCATTATCTGTGCTAAGGCAAGGCATACACACCTGAGAGACCAACAGACTTACTGTCATATGTATCAACTCCCGGCACCATGGGACTCTTGGTGTCCTGAAGGGACAAGAGCTCAGAGGGACACGTGACAAATGGGAAAGCCATGGGATGATGAGAGTCAGCGACTGAGCACGCAGATGACTACGGTCATGGGAGAGAGTGTGTGCAGGTGGAATGGGAGTGCAGGTGAAGCGCAGGTAACAGCTGTACTTGATCATCCCCTGTGTGTCTGTGAAACCGCCTTTGCAAAATTATATCTGAGGAAATTGTGACAGTGAAAGAAACCAGACCTAATCAACTCCATCTTGCTTCGAACCTTTAAGCTGTCCTTGTTCATTCCTGGACATAGACTGAATTCATTTTGGGAAGGTATTCAATTCTTGGTTTGATGCTGAAACAAAATTGATAACGGCCCTTTCCCGAAAAGGCCCCCTTCTTGCCTGGGGACCAGTCTGTCTTTGCAGGACTAATAATTAGCTCTAAGATTAGAAATTATGGTTTAGGGGTCATGCAGCCTCTGGCTCTGAGAGTCTGAACCTCCTCAAATTGTTGTCGGGGATCACATCACTCTTGCAAAACCTAACATCAGTGCTCGAGATATTTTGCAGACCCCACACTTGCTGGATCAGCAGACACCACCCAGACCGGTAATCTGGCCCAACCAGTTCTGCCATTGCACGCAGGAACAGAAGATAGCAAGAAAAACTCACTTCGGCCCCCTGTGATTCCATCTCTGACCTGACCAAGGAGCACTACCGGCTCCTCAAGCCCCTACCCGCCAAATTATCTTTAAAAACTCAAATCCCTGAATGCTGGGGAGACCGATTTGAGTAATAATAAAGCTCTGGTCTCCCACACATCTGGCTCTACGTGAATTACTCCTTCTCTATTGTAATTCCCCTGTCTTCATAAATCAGCTCTGTCTAGGCAACGGGCAAGGCAAACCCACTGACGGTTACATCTGTGTCCTTATCTCTGTTTTCAAAAACAAGTGTTCCACTACGAACCAGAAACCAACATTCCACCAAACAATTATTCCAGTTGTATGAGCTTCGAACCAATCAGGGAGATTTATATTTCCATGCAATTTAAATGTAAGAAGTGTATTTAGATTTGGGTTTCAGTTCTTGTTGTTGTTCCTTACCTTGGTAAGCAAGTTTAAATCCTTGCCGGTTTTGCGAATGGTCACTGTAAAAGTGGATGAGGGTTTCATGCGTCGTGCTCAGCAGGGCCGCGGGGAGATCCGTGCCGCTAAATTGTCCAATCATGGGGCTGGTGTGGTAAGGTCCGTTTTGAATTTCAAGGAAGTCATGATTAGCTTCGGTAGAGAAATTCAGAAACTGAATATGGGCACCTGTGGAAAAACATGCGAACTTAATGAAAGTTCATATCGAAATGTATAAAATCAATGCTCATAAAAAGTGACTGAAGTGTTAGCAGTCTCCCCAGACAGTCCCTCTCTGTGAACTGAACCATGCCACAGAGGATGGCAGGCACTGTGGATGACAACACACCCTGGCTCCATCTTACCTCTGCCACTTTCTGCCTCATGGTCTTTTTCCAGGAAACTCATGTCCAGAAGTCAAATTTGTTTGTGAAACATGAATATTACCAGCACCGTACCACACAGCTACACAGGTAGAATCCTTAGAGTACCAACTAGCACACGCGCGCACGGGGATGATTTTGTCCAGTGACTTTTACGATTATGACAATCTTAAACATGAAGTTGTGATCGTCTGTTACATCACCCAAAAGCTAATTGATGGCTTTATCAAGGAAAAATAAAAACAAAACAAACAAACAAACAAAAACAATTTTGGTCTTAAAACATGCAGCAGAGTTTTTTGTTTTTGTTTTATGTTTGTCTGTCTGTTTTGTCTGTTCTCCTTGTCCTATAGTTCCATGCAACAAACTTTAAAAGTGGCTTTTACGCTAACTGGATGGTCATACCATTGCACAAATGTTATTAGTTCAGCAAGTGATCATTTTCTATTGTGTTATGTGTGCAAAACAAATTATTGATGTTTGTGAGAAACCCAATCCAATAAACCCCACCATAACTCTCACGATTAAATCTAACAGCCTGGCATAGTTCAGCATACCAAAAGACTGTTCAAATGACCAGTGTCTCTGATATCATACTGATTTGTGAATTAAATAAGCTATGGCTGATAATTTAAAAGGAAACAATAACAAACACTTTAGAGTTATTTGCATTGTGGCATTTTTAAACTTATTTTACTAGTATGCCTTAGATATTCTAACTCATTTAAGCAATTTATATAGAACTCCAAAGGTGTTAGTCTTTGCATAAATCCATGCAGTTAAGCTGGGCCATAAAACCTAAACTAAGCTAACTAACAGCTGTTGTAGAGTGTTATTCCAATATAAAAGAAAGCTTTACTCTGCGTGGTTCTTCTCTTTTTGATAGATGAGAACTTAGATTTTTTTTTCATCTAATATGTTTCCTAGATTGGGAAAATTAAAGATAACACCTACTTGGGTTATCCTACTTAATTTTAAGTGCAGAAAAATATTCACACAAACATATCTACTCAGGTATCAAAGGAAAACACAGTTGTCAGAGGCCAGTACTTTGTAAAAAGGAAGAAAAAAGTCCAAGTGAAAAATTGTAGGGAAGAAACACCTAAAATCTCTCAACAAAATTTAAAGTCATACAAGGAAAACAATTTCATTAATTATGGAGAAACTCGGCAGGGAGAAGCAAAAGGGTAAATAATGCCCTGCCTGGGTGGGCATTGTGTGAGGCCAATGGTATGCCTGGGGTCTGATTTGCCAACCAAGATTATTCCCAGCACAGTAATCATCACTATGCTCATAATTTACAGGTGAGTAAACCAAGGCTCAGAAATGTTAGCTGTTCTGTCTCATGTCACACAGGAAATGGCAGAGTAAGGTTTAACCCCGCACTCACTGACAAAGGCCTCACTTTTTCTGATTTGGTATGCCAATAGGCTAGACAAGAGCTGACAGTCTCATGATGGTAAAAATATTCCACTCTTCTTGGAGAAAATCAGTTTGTATTATGTTCAACCTTGATTGAAAGAGGATGAATTAAAAAAAATAGAATGTGAAAAACTGGAGGAGACAAAAAAAAAAAGAAGAAAAAGAAAGATCTCTAATAATTTAAGCAAACTTTAGAATTCTTTTTAGAATGAGTAGCTAGATTCATATCACACTGTCCAAGTCTATAGGCTGGTACTATACCACCAGTCAAGAAAGGGCTGTCTCAGCCTGCGGTGGTCTTGGCCATTCTAACATCGTCTGCTGTATATAACCAAGGTGGAACAACTCTTTAAATATACAACATTTCTGCAAATATTCAAAAATGTCAAATACTGCTGTTTGTCGAACACCCACCAATAAGCTATTAATTTGTTTCTAAATTCCAGAAAATATTTTTGTTCAAAAGAAATTCAGAAGTGAGTGAAAAAAAAGAAAAAAAGGGAGAGAAGGAGGCGCCAAGAGAGGGAGGAGGGAGGAGGAAGGGAGGGGGAGGGGGAAGGGAGGGAGGGGAGAAAAGAGAGGGAGGAGTTTCAGGGGCTTCTGTATTCCTTGGTTTGGAGCTGTCTCCTCTGCCTGCTGTGACACCTGAGCTCCTGGACTGCTCAGCCAGTGGCACATCCAGATCTACCTGTCCACTTACCCACTACTGAGCTAAAAACACAGTTTGATGGTATGGCCTATGAATCTAATAAAAATGAATTTTGTTACTAATAAATAATCTATACTGAAGAGTAGGTGTGTATGTGTGTGGCGTGTGCGTGCGTGCATGCATTTGTGTGTGCACATGTGTGTTTGTGCGACTGCCTTATGAACACTGAATCCACGTGCTCCACAGAGTTTTATGGACATTCCTCACATTAATCACAACCAGGCGGATTCAAGAAGCTGACCCGAGAGCAATAGAAAACAACCTGTTGAATTGCCGGCACTTCTATGTATGCCCAGAGTACCAGAAAGGAACACTGGGGCCAGACTGGAACACTTAATATCTAATGGTAGGGAAATGGGTGGAAATGTGCTCACTTCGGATGCGCACATGCAGACTTTAGACATATTTATCCAGAAACACATTTTGAAATTCATGAGCCGGCACAGTCACGAAAGATAACAACTTGCAAAGGGATCAGGGTGCAAAGAAATGGAGGATGTCCAACGTCTCAGAAGTACAGGATCCAGTGAAAGTGGTTTGTTACTGATTTGGAATTCAGCTTGAAAAGGAAATGGAATTATGACAATTATAATATTGTGAGCAAAATTACCATTTTAAGCAGGATAAATTATACAGCAACATATCAAACTACCTAATCCATATCAGAAAATAGAACAGAGCCCAGCTCTAATCTGGCTTAAAATAGAATTATTTAGCTATCTAATTTTCAGCAAATTGCATCCAGTTTGACATTGTAAAGCCCAAATAAAAGGATTAAAATAAGCATAACCTGGTTATCCTTCTATTATCTCAGAAAGTACTAAAAAATATATATTATTTCAACAACAACAACAAAAATCTGAATGCTTACCTTTGGTGGAATTTACCCAGCACCCTCTTATCCAATTGTGATTACATATTGAAAATTAAGTGCCTGTGACAAGTCACCTGCACAGAGAAGTTTTGCCTTTGGCGTTGACAAAACTTTGAATAGTAGTGTGACCATGATCTCAGAGTTAAACCTTAGTCTTTAGTTGATAGAACCTGTGAATATTACTTGCTCTGTTTTGCACCTTCTGTGTGTAATAAAAATATAGCAAAAGTGTTAATACCTATGGAATTTATTGAACATTCTAAAGAACTTTTTATATTGTCCCTATGTTTCTAGACAGTCTGATGGCATGGTAATTTTGGAGAGCATTGTGTGCACGATTAGTGCAGTAGATTTTAAGTATAAAAGGTAATGGAGTAAGGCAGATAGAAATCTTGGTTGCATTTCTGTTAGTGGTGCCCTTAGACACTCTCAAGAAAACAGAGACAGAAATCCTGAGTTGGTTGAGTTCTGCCAGAGCATCACAAAACAACAAGCCAAGTCTGTGAAAAGGAAAGAAAATGGCACACAACTATTGGGTTTAGCTACTAGATAACTAAACTAGAATTTGGTTTAGCTATTAAAAACAGCACTTAAATAATGTCCTATGTCCTGCAGTTACAATACTTCAAAATAGCCCTATGGGACTGATATTTTATCATAGTCCCTTTAAAAATAAGGAAGCAAGTTTCAAAAACATTCTGGTATCTTGTATAATCATTGGTAGGACTAAGATTTCTACTCAGCTCAACTCAGAGCCCCAAATTGTGAGCAACCACAGCTTATGCTGCCAACTGCCTCAGTCCTTTTGGCTAGAGTTCTCTTGGTCATTTTGAGGGACAGGCTGTGTGGGTCACTGTGGGTTACTGAGGCAGGGTGTAGAAAACAGTTGTTCCTGGAATGAATAATTAGGAAAATGAGGCAGGATGATTTCCACGTGATACCAAAGCAGCTAATCGCTTTTACCAATTCTAAATGTGGCTTGATCCATGGGAATGGGCTCTGGGAGTAGAGTTCATCAAAAGAATTATTTGACTAAACTGGCAACTGCTTAACTCCTGGATTAGATAATCGATCAGGCAATTCCACGCTTATCCACTTGTATGGGAAGATCCGTAATACCCAATAAAATCCTCCCAAGGTGAAAAACATTACATATATTTTTCTTCAAGAAATGGCAATAACGTCTTGTATTCCGGATAAGCGTTATTACTCAGAGTAACTGGAGGAGCACGCTTACTGGTAGAACAGCTGTGCCCTGAGAATCCAAATCCCAAAACTGACAACCAAGGGGACACATATGTATGTTCAGATGCTAGATATACAATCCGAAGCCTAGAAATTACATTTAAGAAAGCTTTGCAAGAACAATTTTTCATTTTTTCTTTTGTAATTCACTTTGGAGTTTTGATTTGTCATGCTGTTTCATACTCAATAATATTATATCTCTATTTTCAACTTGCCAAAATCTCATGATTTCTACATGTTTACATGAAAGCAATTTTTCTTAAATAATATTTATAAGAATCTTGTGAAAATTTTTGTGCATTCCTCATCTTATTTAGATTGAAAGTACTCTTCTATAAATTGGAGAAAGGCTTCCTGAAGGAGTTTGACTCCAGCATCCAAGGAACTGGAGTTGCTTTGGGAAGATGCCAAATTCATTTCTTACTTCAGCCAGGGGCACTGAATCAGAATTTAGGAAACAGGCCACGGGAAGCTACATTGTAACAACACAACCTCCATTGAGGCTTCTGGCACAAATAAAATTTGAGCACCCTAGCCGTGCAATCATTTTCCTTGTTACTTATGGTTGCAAGTTTAAGTAGATACAAATGACACTCTCTTAGGGTCTAAGGCAATCAAGCTTCCCATAATGTCTGTTTCTTGATGAAATTTCCAGGGATACTTCAAAGGAAACATTGTTTAACACAGTTTCCCAAACCTCTGAAAACAGACCAGGGGAGAGGCAGTATGGTGATGCAATGCAACATTTGCCCTTACAGGAGGAGCTGGTTAACTCTACCATGATTACTCGTATGAACTACCTAACACATATATGTCTTTTCTGAGTATTAAAGAAGACATATCTTCTGGCTATTCTATTGCAACCTGATCACCGAGATCACCCTAACAGCATTATCCTGGTAAGATATTTTTTGTGAGACGTCAGTTGAAATACCTGTCTACCTTCTCAACCTCCCTGTTTGTCCCGTTAGGAAATAAGGGGCCCTTTCTGAGTTGTAACCACAGGAAATGTTCCAGAATCACTTTATGGTTTGGGTATTAATAGAAAGCAACATGAGACACCAAAAAGGGGAGAAGTCATAATTACAAGATAATTGTGGTCACCTCTGCTATATTCCCATTTTGTTTCACATAAGAAACTTCTGGAGTGAGCACTTGATTTTTAAGTGCAGACGTCTGAGCTTGAACCCCAAACTTACTTCCTCAAAATTTCCAAGGATATTATCTGATATTTGCTTATGATCTGGGAGATTCTGAGAAGAGCTTGCTGACAAGAGTAAGATAAGGTTCAGAGAAAGAAAAATGACCTACGCAGTGCTGTAGGTATAAATTAGGAATTGAACAGGAGAACCTGACTCAGATGAAATCGTTCACATGCTGCAGAAGTGTGGTTTGACATTTGATAACAAGACTCACGATGTTGGTTTAAAATTCATGTGCATAGAAGGGAGACTTGAAGCTCTGGTAGTGGATATTACGAGGGAGAAGAGGCAGGAATTAAGGAAGGCCATGAATATATAGAAGTAATTTACTTAAATATTTTTCACTATAAAACGATGTGGGGGCCGGGCGCGGTGGCTAACGCCTGTAATCCCAGCACTTTGGGAGGCCGAGACGGGCGGATCACAAGGTCAGGAGATCGAGACCATCCTGGCTAACACGGTGAAACCCCGTCTCTACTAAAACATACAAAAAACTAGCCGGGCGAGGTGGCGGCACCTGTAGTCCCAGCTACTCGGGAGGCTGAGGCAGGAGAATGGCGGGAACCGGGAGGCGGAGCTTGCAGTGAGCCGAGATCGCGCCACTGCACTCCAGCCTGGGCGACAGAGCGAGACTCTGTCTCAAAAAAATAAATAAATAAATAAAAATAAACAAACAAAAAGAAAAGAAAACAAAACAAAACCAAAAAAACGATGTGGGGTTGAAAGCTAGATAGTAAAAATTTCTCAGATTCTGCAAATTGCTCGAAAATGATGTAAGCCCTAGAAAGAACTCCTACCAGGGGCATCATCATTCCAAATGTTGACCATGTCAGGGGACGCATGGCCACTCACATCCCTCTCCTCCCCATTTCTCACTTCGCATCTGTTACTATTCAGAGTTATAAAATTTATCAGAGGCAACCCTGGCGTATTACTCAAATGTAATCTATAACAAATTATTCTGAAGCATACCTACATCTATTCTAAAAAGCTAGGGATAACATTTTTTATGCCTGTTGGATTTGAGATACAGTTTCTTTTCTCCTCTCCCAGATCCTCTTTAAACCCTCATGCTATGCAATATCAAATTTTTAAAAGATTTACATCAGTTTAAAGATATTTCATAATTTATTTTTCATTTCAATCTTCTTTAAATAGTTTGTTTAGGTTTTACAGATCCCAAATATGAATTTAGACAATTTGGTTTCATTGAAGTTTTTTCCCAAATTATTCTCTCGCACAATAGTTTATAAATAAATAAATAAGAAAATATACTAAATGATACCCTTCTCAGAAATGATAAAATAGTAACATTGGAAAAATAAGTTAAGAAAATATTTATACCAATTTTATTTTATTCATAGAATGTTTCCAATTAGTTTTGAGAGGAAGGTGGCAAACATTTGGAAGAATAATACAAAATACAACTAGGTGATTTTATTATTTGTTTCACGTTTTTTTTGTTGTTGTTGTTTATCACATGCCAAGCCCTGCACTAATCTTCTAGCCAGAATTTTTATGTATTTATTTATTTATTCATTTATTTATTGAGACAGAGTCTTGCTCTGTCACCAGGCTGGAGCACAGTGGGACGATCTTGGCTCACTGCAACCTCCACCTCTCGGGTTCACGCCATTCTCCTGCCTCAGCCTCCCAAGTAGTTGGGATTACAAGCAAGTGCCACCATGCCCAGCTAATTTTTGTATTTTCAGTAGAGACAGGGTTTCATCGTGTTGGCCAGGATGATTTCGATCTCCTGACCTCGTGATCTGCCTGCCTCGGCCTTGCCAATAGCCAGAATTATTTTAATTAACCCTCACCATAACCTTATGTAGCTATTTCAGGTATAGAAATGAGGAAGCTGGGGTTCCTGTGGATGAACTCATTTAAGAAAACCACACCTTCTTCAGGGATCGCTGCAGTTTGCCTCAGATTTCTCTCATTCTCTGATGTTCATGACTACAATAATTTGCCCAACACGGCTGTGGTCCTTAAGAGCACTGCGGCCGTGGAAACTATCCAGGGTTACACATATCTCTGAAATAATTCTTAACCCCTGACTCCAAAGATTAGTTCAACAAGTTCATGTCTCCAGATCTCCATGGCAACGACGATGGGCCCAGCTTGGGGGAACAGTGGAGCCAATGTTGTTGAAAGTGATTCACAGCTCTCCGTTTCATTTAGCCCTAGCAGAATCACTGCCTTATGCTCAGAGAGATGATGATTGAAAAAAACAAAACTAGCAAACTAAGAAACCTGGGAGAAGTAAGGGGCTCCTATAATAATCCTTCCACAGAGTCTCTCCCTTCCTCGACCACCACCAGACCTGGCCTCCTACAGATAACTGGGCGGTGATGGACTCCACAGGCCGCCCCCGTCGAGCTGCTCTTCCACGGTCCTCCTCTTTCGTGGTGGAACGGTCATGTTGGTTGACTGCATTTCCCATGTCCGGCACCTGACTGACCTGCCCGGCCATCATTCCGACTGTTTATTCCCCGGCCACTCTCTGCTGAGCAAGCCCACCCTGACTGCTCACTCCTACTGCTACTGCCATCCTGGGCACAGATTCTAAAAGCAGAAGCTTTGAATAAAGAGTGTGATCTTCTTCCAGGGCAGTGATTTCTATTTATGGTTGTATTCATTCATTCATCATTCAGCTACTATTTAGTACAGAAGTACCCAGCTACTCTGCCCTAGGACATTCACTGAGTACCTAACTTGGTCTACCTAGAGTGAGTGCTGTAGAGAAAATCACAGGTAAGGGAGACCCAAATAAATGAACTAAAATACGAAAGAGGCAGACAGGGAAAGGCGTGAGAGGGGATCAAAATTTCACAAAGACCCTGCATTTCTGAAGAGAGGCCAGAAAAAGTTACTATAATAGTATACATAAAAATTAAATTTATGAATTTATTTAAGGTGAATAACCTGAATGTTAATAACTAGATATTAAAAAACAACTTATTTATTAACCTGGAAACAATGTAATATATAATAAAAATGTATAAAACCATACTATGTCTTGAAATTTGTTTTATGTTTATTTTAAAAGGAGTCATAACCTTTAAAAAAACCTTCGAAATTATCCAGAAGAAACAATAACCATTATTGACTTCCAGAGACAGATTAGAAAAAGCGTTATGATAAATAAAGAGAGTGATAATTGAATTAGGGATGCTACATTTTCCACTCTGTGTGCCTACGATATCATCATTCGGCCAATTTAATTTGCCTTGAAAAGAGTTGCATGGTTCAGTTGATTTTTCAAATAAGTTTCCCACTCTCAAAGTTACTCTGCGAAAGCTTTATTTAAATCTGTATGCCACTTTCAATTACAGATACAGTTATGTCAACAGAATAAGGCATTTTATTCTGCTTAATTCTTTCTGAGATGGAAATGAAGAAAATGAACTTTTAGGAATGGACAGTGTTTTTTCACTTACCATAGCCGATGGGTAATGAGATCCTCCAGGTGCAGTCTAAGTTGTTGGGGTAGGAACCTGGGAAGCCGGGGCTCAGGATTACACCGCCCAGAGTGTTCAGTGTCCCTCCACAGGTGGCTGTTAAGTGGACAAGATGTCAGTCCTGCGGGTCCTCACTTCCTCCCTGGAATCTTTGCTCCAACCTGCTTCACTCAACTATGCTGAGAAACAGCAAGTCTTCGGAGTTGAATTCCGCCCCTAATTACAGCACACGATACAGTGCTGTGTGCCTTAGTTATTTATGAGCTGTGCTCTCCCTCTTGACAGTGAACTGCTTTAGAATAAAGACCGTTTTTCAAGATCCATCTTCTCCTCGTACTCAAAGGCTCCCAGTAAAGATTAGTCCATTTAATGTCTGCATTGCAGTCAGGCATCAAATAGACTTCAGTTTATTAGCTGCAATTCATTGAGAGGTAGTATTAGTCCCTATTTATTGATTGTTAACTATGTGGTACTTACTGTAGCTAGATACACATTACACAGATTAACTCACATAACACCCTGAAAGGATGACCATTCCCCTCTTACACACAAAGAAACCAGGCCTGGAAAAGATTAAGAAATTTGCCTAAAGTGACATGCCTTGTAAACAGTACAACCAGAAGGTCATTCCAGCTGTGTCTGCTTCCAGAACCCGTTTCAGCCAGGACACATGACTGTCAGATAGCTTTTCAATTTTGGAATGTAGCTAACTGCAACCACTTTCTCCCCAGGAAATCTTATGCTGTGAGAGAGGGTGAAATAAGTTCATGCATCTTGCCTTATCTTGGCGACTCACATGTTTTGCTACCGTATCTGAGGTTTGACTATAAAGAAACACAACTGATTTTACAACAAACGTGCCCAGTGATATAAGTTGAAGCATTTGAAATTCCAATCTTTGACCATTTGTAACCTATTGAAATAATTTCTTATATTCCAAAATTATGCAAATAATGCCTCTTCTTTTCAGGAAGCCCAAAGGAAATGGCTTTATTCTAACAATGCTCTCATTATGCAAAATATTTTAAACAAAATATTTTCTGGAAGCCCTCTTTTAGAGGCCCCCTAGGACCGGTAGTGAAGCCTTTTTGTTTTTTAATCATCATCAAGGCTGAAACACTTTATTTGTAATTTAATATAAGAAATAGCTAAAACTCAAGTCTAGTGAATACGGTGATTGCTCAAGCCAGGGCACCACATTCTGGATTTCAAACATTATACAAGTTGAAAAATGTGAGTTACAAACATTTAAAAGTGTATTTTTGTGGTGTGAGTCATAATTCTGGAAAAGTCTTGGACACCATCAACTGTGTTGCTATTTAAAGTATAACCTCTCAAGGCGATTTCTTTGTGGGAGAGACCAGGCATTTGCAAGGCCAGGCTCCCGTCTGCACTTTGTCCATGCAGCTGCTGACTGTGCGGAAGACACACCAGTGAATCTGAGTGGCATGCCTAAATATGTTCAGCAGTAATACCCTTTCCCTGAGGGCTCATGTGACCTGCAGTGACAGTAGATATGCATATTCAACTGTCAGAGGTGTTAAACCAGAACAACTCCACCTTGAATAGGATTTGGATAAAATAAGGCTGAAACCTACTGGGCTGCATTCCCAGATGGTTAAGGCTTTCTAAGTCACAGCATGAGATAGAAGGTCAGTGCAAAATACAGGTCATAAAGACCTTGCTGACAAAACAGGTTGCAGTAAAGAAGCTGGCTAAAACCTACCAAAGCCAAGGTGGCCATGAGAGTGACCTCTGATCGTCCTCACTGCTACACTCCCACCAGTGCCAAGACAGTTTACAAATGCCATGGCAATGTCGGGAAGTTACCCTAAATGGTCTAAAAAGGGGAGGCATGAATAACCCACCCCTTGTTTAGCATATCATCAAGAAATAACCATGAAAATGGACAACCAGTGGCCCTCGAGGCTGCTCTGTCTATGGAGTAGCCATTCTTTTGTTCCTTTACTTCCTTAATAAACTTTACTCTATGGACTCGCCTGGAATTCTTTCTTGCGCGAGATCCAAGAACCCTCTTTTGGGGTCTGAATTGTGACCCCCTTTCTTTAACACAACTACAGGGAAGACATGAATGAAAAAGGCCGAATCAATGACAAAAAAAAGGAAAACAACAGAACCAGTAAACGTGGTATTACTAAAAAGTTCCTTTTGATTTTAGCATGATTTCTGCACACACATGCAAATGTAAATCATAAAATACAAACGCCTATATGTATCTTCAGCTGAGGACTGAGGCAGCCCTGCAGGAGGGGCTGGCCCAGGACCTGAACGTAGACGGCATCATCAATACAGATGCCTGTGTCCCACACAGACCAAATGTCTGTGTGATGCGAAACTGATCACGGGCCTGAACCCTGGGTTCATCTCCTACCAAACACGCAACAATCACCTAATTACTTGAGAGCTTAGTTAAAGCCACAATAATCCTTTGTTTTTGCTGTTGTTCATCTAGAAAACTACAAGTCAATAGATAAGCATAAAAACAGAGCTCCCAAAAGATGCATATCCACTTTTTCTTCCTTTGGGGCCTTTTTTTTTTAAGACAGTCTCACTCTGTCACCCAGGCTGGAGTGCAGTGGCACAATCTCAGCTCACTGCAACCTCCGCCTCCCGGGTTCAAGTGATTCTCTTGCCTCAGCCTCCCGAGTAGCTGGAATTACAGGCACCCGTGACTGCGAGTACACCTGGCCAATTTTTGTATTTTTAGTAGAGACGGGGTTTCACCATGTTGGCCAGGCTGGTCTCGAACTCCCGACCTCAGGAGGTCTGCCTGCCTCAGCCTCCCAAAGTGCGGGGATTATGGGCCTGACCCACCATGCTCGGCCCTTTGTGACATTTTAAGGCAACTGGGCTTGCCACGTCTCAGATTGGTTCAGTGTCCATCTCAGTGTGGTTGTCACGTTGTGGACTGACTTCCTGCCTCCTGCCTGGGAAGCTCCCTCCATGCCAGACCCTTTCTTATAGGTAAATAGTGTATTTAGAGTTATTGGTAAATATGGTTTTTGTAAAGGGAAGGGAATTTATTTTTATGAAATGGCTAGAGACCTTATATTTTACTGGATTTATACATCTTATTTTGTATGGATTTCTGATTTGGAGGGGGAGAAAGAATGTATAGAATTGTTACTGAAGGACACAGACACATGGTGCTGAAGAGCTCTGTGGTGCAGTGAGACAGGGAGGTCCCAGGCCACCTGCTGTGACGAGAACCTCACTCAGTTGTAGGGCCCTAGAAATCCGCGAGACCATTCTGGGGCTTGTCACAAATATTCAACATAGTCAATATTGGTTAAACTCTGAGAACACTGCTTGATATGTTCACCTCTAGAGAAGTGGTTTTATATACAGTGTCTTCATTAGTACTAGTATTTCTCAAAATCAGGTCATGGGATTTCCAGGAGCTCATAAGTAAAATATTATCTCTCTTGAACTTCTCCTCCTAAAATTCCCCGGTTTGGCGTAATCTAAAGGTAACAGCTACAAAAAACCTTTCAATCTCTACAATCGTTCTTTGAGCTTTATCATGGGTCATGTGTGAGTTTTTAAACAATGAAAAAACTTCTATACCCTGTAAAGAATTACGGAAGTTGACATAACTTCAACATGTCCTAATATTTACAATGTTAAATAAAAGAGAAAAGCCTATTATATTTTGCAAATATACGCTAATTATTTGAAAAAAAAAATCCCGGCCGGGCACGGTGGCTCAAGCCTGTAATCCCAGCACTTTGGGAGGCCGAGACGGGCGGATCACGAGGTCAGGACATGCTGGCTAACACAGTGAAACCCCGTCTCTACTAAAAAATACAAAAAACTAGCCAGGCGAGGTGGCGGGCGCCTGTAGTCCCAGCTACTCGGGAGGCTGAGGCAGGAGAATGGCGTGAACCCAGGAGGCGGAGCTTGCAGTGAGCTGAGATCCGGCCACTGCACTCCAGCCTGGGCGACAGAATGAGACTCCGTCTCAAAAAAAAAAAAAAAAAAAAATCCCATTGTGTAATACAAAGTGACAGCAAAGGCATATTGTATGATTCAATGCCTGCTTAGAATTGATTTCATTGTGAAGTTTAAAAAATTTCAATTCCTGACATTAAGGGAAGGCTCTTCATTTAAAAATAAATAGGCAGATTGATGTTCTGTATGAATCAAAGGCAGTTTTAATTTTTTCCTTTTTAAAATTTTTTTATTTTTTCTTCCAAATCAAGGCTGGGATTTTAAACGTCTCTACAAGTAGCTCTTTGTTTTTAGCTGACATGTTAATCTAGACATTTATTTTTACCAAGAAATAGCTTTTAAAAACAAGACACTGGCCACTAAGGTATATTTTTCACTTGTAAGCAAATACGATATAGGGAAGATAACATAAACAGGCATTCTCTCCTGGATGAGACTATCATAAAGGCTGAAGTTTTGTTTGTTTTACAGGTTTCGTGCAGTTTTACTTTCCTCTACACAATTTCATCTGCATCCCATGCAAGGCAGTTAAATTGTGTATTACTAAAAACCATTGAATACCTACATTTATTTGAGATGTGGGGAAATTAGGCTGTCAGAAGAATGTGTAACAGACAGTAATTACCTGACTTTCCCTGTGGGTGTCCACGCCACACTATGTCGAAATGAATTCTAAACGGAATGTGAATAGCTCACAGGACAACTTGAAGGCTATTTTGTGGCCTTTAAAATGGCTAATGTTCATCCATATAGAGCTGACCACTTTCTCCTGACACACCATTTGGCAGTAGGGCATGCTTGAGGCTGACTGTCTGGAGATAAGTGGGTTCTGAGCACACCCCCAGCAATACTTGAATGTTGGAAGACTGTGGGGAACAATAAAGACAGCACCCCCAGAAGTGTGACTATTATAATGATCCCTGCTCTCTGATATTCATTCCCTAGCTATTCTTTAACTGAAATTCTTGTCTACCACGTGCTGAAGGTACAGAGGTGAGTGGTGCATGTCTCTGTCACCAAAGCCTTTGGGGATTGTAGAAGGGCAAATTAAAGAGCGATATCATTAGAGCTCTGCAGGAAGTAAAGTCAGGCACATGGTGGTGGTAGCCCAGGGTAGGGATGACTCACTGCACCTGCAGGTGGGAGCCCAGACAGCATTGAGGAGAGGACACTCTCTCCAGTGCAGAATTCGAGAGGGTGACTAAATCCTCCCATAAATATTTTAATGTAATATTTGGAAAAAATCAAAAGAAAGGCAGAAAATGTATGATGAACAAGACATGGCAAATTTAAATAAAGACAAGATCGGTACTGCCGATGTTTCCTTTTGTCTCTTTCCTGCGATAAAGCTGGAGTATGGTTAAATACGGGAGCTGTAGGTTAGGATCCCACGGAGATGATAATTTAGGAGGGGACTGTGCCATCTTAAAGATGGGGCATTGGTGCTAAGAATCGCAGGGGAGGACACACTCAGGTGGAAGGGGTGACAGAAGTGAGAAGTCACTTGGATTTAGGGAGTGAGGGAGAAATTTAAGGTAACACCCAGATTTGTTGTTTAGGGAAAAAAAAAGAAAAAGAAAAAGAAAAAAAGCAGGATACTGCTAATAGCATTCTCAGAGGAAGCAGATCCAGGATAACAACAATAGGTTTGGAGAAGCCAATCAGTATGTGGGTTGGGGGTACGGAGTGTTAAGTAACTAATGATGATCCTGCTGAGACAGTACCTGCAAAGCTGGATGGTCACTTGAGCTACAGGTAAAGATTTCTGAGTTGGGCTACAACAAATAGGTGATGGGTGAAGCTGGGGGCCTGAATGATGGGGAGCAAAGTCACCCTGACATCAACAACCTTTGTATTGAGGGATTTGTGATCATCACCTACAATGCTCCTGGAATCATTAAGCTCCCATCACATCATCTATGCTAACAGTTTAGCGAGTCTCAAGGCATTAAATACGGGTCTGGAAAGCTTTTTCCTAAAGAAATCAGCTGATTGTGCCTCCGTGAACTCATCCACAAGATAGTCGCTGGGCTGTTTCCAACATGAAATCCTCCATCTCTCCATGGGTAATCTGTCATTCTGAAGTTTGTTTCTGGGAACTTGTTTTTCTGAGGCTAAAGGTCTATACAGAAAACTACTCAGATTTTCAGACCAGCTGCATTCCTTCTTTGCCACAAATGAACAAACTGGCCTTCTGACACGAATGCCATTTTGGTGTAGGGCCTTGAGCAGGCAGTCCTGTCTCTGGTCTGTGCGGGCTGACCCAGACACACTGAGAAGACGGAGTTGCTGCATTCTGTGGGGAAGGTGCAGGTTACACTCGTCATTCTGCTCTACTGAATTATGTGCTATTATTACATAACACATGTTTTCAAATTAAGAAATTTAGAAGTGCATCCTTTGATGCCCAAGAGTACAGCAGGCATGTTCTTCCTAGTGTGTGCACAGCAGCAGAGTTACAGAAGGTGCATCCTTACCAATGCAGAGGGGAGACGGATAGTTCCAACGGCGAACAGTCCCTGGCATACAGGAAATGTGGGAACGGCCCTGTTTAAAAGGAAACAAAAGAAAATCCATATAACTGAAATCAGAGCGATGAAGGATTAAGTGTTTGAGAATATCTGCACTTTTTCCTTTCTTAATTATAAGTATTTTAAAATGCAAAAATTGTGAAATCTGTTTTTACTAATGATTATTAGTGAGTCACATTTGCAACCAACATAGAAAAGTATCCATTTTCACCGTGTTTCTTTCTATTAAAAACAAAATCTTGCAATGTTCTTTTGACCAGACCATAATTCGACCCAGCTCCTTTCTTGATACTTAAAGAAGAGTATTGAATTGGGCAAAGTATGCGTTTATTAAAAAAAATTTTTATTATACTTTAAGTTCTAGGGTACATGTGCACAACGTGCAGGTTTGTTACATATGTATACATGTGCCATGTTGGTGTGCTGCACCCATTAACTCATCATTTATATTAGGTATATCTCCTAATGCTATCCCTCCCCTCTTCCCCCATCCCATGACAGTCCCCGGTGTGTGATGTTCCCTTTCCTGTGTTCAAGTGTTCTCATTGTTCAATTCCCACCTATGAGTGAGAACATGTGGTATTTGGTTTTCTGTTCTCGTGATAGTTTGCTGAGAATGATGGAATAACAGACAAACAGAGAGCCAAATCATGAGTGAACTCCCATTCACAATTGCTTCAAAGAGAATAAAATACCTAGGAATCCAACTTACAAGGGATGTGAAGGACCTCTTCAAGAACTACAAATCACTGCTCAATGAAATAAAAGAGGACACAAACAAATGGAAAAACATTCCATGCTCATGGATAGGAAGAATCAATATTGTGAAAATGGCCATATGGCCCAAGATAATATATAGATTCAATGCCATCCCCATTAAGCTACCAATGACTTTCTTCACAGAATTGGAAAAAAACTACTCTAAAGTTCATATGGAACCAAAAAAGAACCTGAATTGTCAAGACAATCCTAAGCCAAAATAACAAAGCTGAAGGCATCACGCTACCTGACTTCAAACTATACTACAAGGCTACAGTAACCAAAACAGCATGGTACTGGTACCAAAACAGAGATATAGACCAATGGAACAGAACAGAGCCCTCAGAAATAATACCACACATCTACAATCATCTGATCTTTGACAAACCTGACAAAAACAAGAAATGGGGAAAGGATTCCTTATTTAATAAATCGTGCTGGGAAAACTGGCTAGCCATAAATAGAAAGTTGAAACTGGATCCCTTCCTTACATCTTATACAAAAATTAATTCAAGATGGATTAGAGACTTAAATGTTAGACCTAAAACCATAAAAACCCTAGAAGAAATAGGCATGGGCAAGGGCTTCATGTCTAAAACACCAAAAGCAATGGCAACAAAAGCCAAAATTGACAAATGGGATCTAATTAAAGAGCTTCTGCACAGCAAAAGAAACTACCATCAGAGTGAAGAGGCAACCTACAGAATGGGAGACAATTTTTGCAATCTACTCATCTGACAAAGGGCTAATATCCAGAATCTACAGAGAACTCAAACAAATTTACAAGAAAAACAAGCGTTTTTTTGTTTTGTTTTTTTTTGTTTTTTTTTTTTTTCATTCGGCAGAATTTATAGCTTTTGGTCTAAAAAAAGGTAACTTTGGTGGGTGTCTGTGGTTACAAGTCACATGACTACCAGGGTTCGGCAAAGCACTGGGTCAGTTCTTCCTGTATCACAGAAAAAGGAGACTTCACGTTCATCATTTTCTCACTAGACATCCTCACATGTCACATCAACCTGCCTGCAATGAAATTAACCCTCATTACTCAGGGTCTCTTTACCCTGTAAATATATGAATTTTCTATGTTCTACTTTTAAAAGTCTGTTCTAATCTTTCTCATGGAAAAAAAAAAATCAAACAGTAGAGGGTTAAATTCAAAGATGTTTTGTGCTACCATCTCTTTCACAATAAAAGAGAAGTGATCCATGAGACCTCTGTGTGTGGTCTATTTTTATTCTTTTTCCTGATTGTGACTCGGTGGCCTTATCAGCCAGGTTTGCTTATCTCATAAATTTCCATTTGCCACCCACAATTGGCATAGAGGCAATTGAAAAACAATATTTAATTTATGTTAAATAATTCCAGCCACACTGGGAAGGCATCAAACAAGCATTTGCACTAATGCAGTTATCAATGGCAAACCGATTCCCTAAGCTCTCAAACATTTCATACTCAATCCATCTGCCACAAAACTAACTTTCTCATACTTCTTGGTATTTTTAAAAGTAGTTACAGTAAAGAAGACTATATTTAATTTTAAAGAAGATACTCTAGGCAATTTTGTGCTGCTGGCATTTATACTCTGTGTATCCCCATTCTCTGATTCATTAAATTATCCTTATAAATTTCCTTCTGAAATAGGGATAAACATAAAGTTCAAAAGTCTCAACAAATTTTCATCAGAGACTACCAATAAAATGATCATTTATTACCAATCTAGGTAATATTCTGCTATTGATTTTGGTATAAACATTTCAAATGAGTGATTCTAGCTACAAGTTTTCTAATAAATCAGAACAAGAGAGAACCCTGTGCATTTATGTACTAGTTTTTACCCCAATGGGAATTTTCTTTTTTATGCTTTAAAAGACCATGAAAACAAGTTGAGAGAAGATGGAAGTCATACATCATTCAATATTCAGCATTTACTTTCAGCATGTGATGTCACGGCAGGCCCCTGAATCTCGCGAGGCATATATATTTATAGACACTCACGTGTGAACTATGCCAGGAACAATGCTTTTCATGACTAATATGTAATTGAAGCATCTGTTGTTCCAAATATATTAATGTGTTAGTAAAATTGTCAGTTGTTAGCAATTAAAAAAAAAAATCCAGAATCCTTTTTTGCTCATGTGAATGGCAAACAGCAGCTTGCAAACTCAAAGCCTGGCATTGTTTGTAACAAAGCAAAGAAACACAGCTTAGTTTCCACTTGAAAAACAGAGCTAATAAACGGTCTGTTGGACTGTGCAGAAGTGCATCCACAGGCCTGTGTCCCTAAGCAGCATATTCAATAATCCATTATAAGAAATTTCTCTAGTAAAGAATTATTTCTAGTTTCTTCTCTGAGAGCCATCATAATATCACTTGTAAAAGAACACAAAGTATTACCATCAGGTAGAAAGAAGATGAACATCCATGAGCAAGGGCAAATATTAAAGTGTGGGAATTTGAGGGAGAATAGAGGAAACATGATATTTACCTGATTTCAGGCCATTACAAAGCAAGCCCCAAACAAGGCACAAAAACAGCATGTCAGTATAGACTGAGGTGTCCCTCTAAATGAGACCCTTGGGATATGAAAGATAATTCTTTTTTTTTTTTCGAGACGGGGTCTTGCTCTGTCATGCAGGCTGGAGTGCAGTGGTGCAATCTCAGCTCACCGCAACCTCCACCTCCTGTTTCAAGTGATCCTCCCACCTCAGCCTCCCAAGTAACTGTGACTACAGGAATGCGCCACCATGCCCAGCTCATTTTTGTATTTGTTGTAGAGGTGGTGTCTTGCTGTCTTGCCCCGGCTGGTCTCAAACTCCTGGATTCAAGTGATCCTCGGACTTTGGAATCCCAAAGTGCTGGGATGACAGGTGTGAGCCACTGCACCTGGCCTAGGATAATTCTTTCTACCATATAATGTGGATCAGAAATGTTGTGTCTTAAATATTCAGCCTGAATAGCCTGAGTGTGTTTGGTTACAAACTCATTGACGTAGCTCAACTTTCAGGAGTGCCTACTCACTATAGTTTCTGCTACAGAGACTCGTTCTGCTACCCATCTTTTTGCAGAGTTACAACAATTATTGTGGCACCCACCAAGGTGGTGTTATAATGTAAGTTGTAGGTTTGTTCTTAGGAAGGTGGCTTTGTACATTGATATTGGTTTCTAATAATATCAACAATAGTTTTCCTTTACTAAAATGTGCCAGTTATTTCACAGATATTTTCTCTAAGCTGAAAGCATACATCACATGGTACCCATGTACCACGGTTGATCAAGAGTAGTGAGATTTTGTATATAAAGCACTTGGTAATGCATCCCTTTAGCATTCAGTATTTGCCAGCTGCTGTTCTTGCTCTTAACTTGATTCAGTGCTACACAATATTTACCCCAATGTATGTGCAGAAATTGAATTCCACGCAATGGTGTTATTTCACTGCTGTAGTGTTACAAGTCTGCATATAAGAACATGGCTGAACAATTTTCCTTTAAAACCTATCAGTTTCAGTGTCATTATAAACAGACAGCTAAAATATTCGATTACCTGAATTAACTGAAGAGCTGGAATGTCAATCGACACATATGTCTCCTGACTTTAGAATACACATGTTTTGGTTATCAATTTTTATTGCTGGCAGGGAGAATTATATAATAATTATGCCAAGTGACAGAAACTATTCTGAGAGTAGGCTTACTCATTACTCATGGTTAAACTAGAAAATATTAATAATAAATAATAAGAGAAAAATGACTAATCTTGCCATACATTCGATTATAAATCATTCATCAAAACTTTTATATAAAAAACTCTTGGCTGGGCGCAGTGGCTCACACCTGTAATCCCAGCACTTTGGGAGGCCAAGGTAGGTGGATCACCTGAGGTCAGGAGTTCAAGACCAGCTTGGCCAACATGGTGAAACCCCCATCTCTACTAAAAATACAAAAATTAGCCGGGTGTGGTGGCAGGTGCCTATAATTCCAGCTACTTGGGAGGCTGAGGCAGGAGAATAGTTTGAACCTGGGAGGCAAAGGTTGTAGTGAGTCGAGATCAAGATCATGCCACTGCACTCCAGCCTTGGCAACAGAGCGAGACTCCCTCTCAAACAAACAAACAAAATCTCTTTATATAGACGATAGTAAAAGTTCATTGAAAAACTTCTACTTGATAGTTTTTAAAACTTACTTAATCAAATAAGTTTATCAATCTAATTTATCAAATCTAATTTATCAAAATAAAATATTTTGATGCCTTATCTACCTAGCCCAAAGTGGGCATTAATGATGACTTATACTGAATGATGAGAACAGTGTGCCGAGTACGACGTGCACATTCAGAAGCAGATTCAGTTGCTGGCTGCCAGGAGAGGACTTTCAAAGAGACGGTGTTGACACTTTGCCCCTAGAATGCTCTGTGCATAGTTATTGGGAACACATACATTGTGAAATAAAATAATTGTGAAAAATCGAATGCTTGGCTTTGAAAGAGTACTTTATCACTTAAAAGCTGGTTCCAAACGGTGATGAAGATGACCAACATGCATGATTTAATATGAATAGTATGATTCGCAAACTAAGTGAGGAAAACCAAATCCACTTTCTGGGTACAAAGTGAGGGCTTTGGCTTGAAGAGAGCTGCACAAAGATGACCATGTGTGTGTTAATCCTGAGCACCGAGAAGAAGGATACCTGCAGGGTGTACCCGGGCTCACACTGGAAGGAGAGCACGTCGTTCACCATGTACCGATCTCCGATTTTGATGCTGTTGCTGGGGAGGGCTGGTTCTTGGCATGCAGCGAGACCGACAGCTAGAAATGCAAAGAAAAATGCTGGAAGTTATATGATGTAAACAACATTCTTACCGTTTGAATAACCAAAGTTTCCTTCTATTGCTCTCCTGTGGAAATGAACAAAGACTTTAATTCTTTCTCTTGTTATTCTACCAAGAAGACTTTCAGTACCTTTAAATCAGAGCTATGAGTTAATTCTTAAAAATTAAATTATCTCATTTTTATTACACAGTGAATCAAGGCTTTGATGTAAATAACAAAATTTGTTACTTCCACATTGAGTATAAAAGATCCCAACTTCAATATATATATATAGTAGAAAGTCTCTTCAAAAATTGTGTTTTTATGGTATGTAAAACTCCAAGATCGTCCTCTTACTTTTGTTTTTCAAGCATACTTAGCAGTCTTTACATATATATATATAAACTTATAGGTGAATCTGGGAATTCTGTTCTTCTACAAAAAAAAATGAGAAAAAATATTTTATATTCAATCTCTCTCTCTCTTTCTCTTAAAGATAACAAAAAGGATCTCATGAACAGTCTGTTCTTCATTAAACAGAAACAATATTTACAGAACCCAAAGCTGTAATCCTGCACTTTCCTAGATGAATTGCATTCAATTAAGACACTCACAGATTTTTTAAAGGCATCATATAGTATTGGAACTCAGCCTAAAGTATCACATAAACTAACTCTAAAACACTGAAACCGCTCTGTGTAAATCCTTATCATAAGAATAAACAAGATATGCAGACATTGTATTTTGTAGAATCAAAAATTGATTTCGGTTTATCAAAAGGTACAAACTTTCCATTATGAGATGAGCAAGTTCTGAGGATCTAAAGTGTACAGCACTGGATGTTGATGGATATATTAATTCATTTAATTTAAAAATGCATTTGAAATGGTGCTAAGGACTTGTTGAATACGAATAATTTATTCCATTATTCTAACATATCATGAAGAAATAGTGGAGAAGGGCTTCTCTAGGTAGGCCGGCTACACATTCTTTATGTGGCCTTGGATTCATATTTGAGTTCTTGTACTTCACACCAACAGGAGTGAACTTATCAGATTACTTAATTGACTGGGACTCTCAGAAAGGAAGCTGGGGTGGAGAAGGTGAGTAGGACTTTAGTTAATCAGAAGCAAAAAAAAAAAAAAAAAAAAAAAAAAAACCGCAGCAGGAGAACAGGTCCACGCAGGGGCAGCCACATGCTAGTGGTCCCCAGGCACAGCGAGGACGCAGCTACCTGCACTGCCCATGGGGCTGGTCGCCACACAGGGCTCTGCCCTGAGGCCAGTCAGTTTTCTCTGCTCCATGCCTGCTCCGTGTCTCACCAGACTTCACTTTCAGGAAAAAAAAAAAAAAAAAAGGCAGCACAAGTGCAAAGATGAAGTGATTAAGAACTTCAAAACCAGCGACCACCATGCACGAGACCCAGTGTGACTCACGCAGTGTCCACTCAGGAAGCAGCTCTGGGTCATAGCTACAGAGTCAGCACCAAGGCCAAGGGAAATCCTGGGTCATCCCTGCATGGCTGTCACCGTACCAGACACATTATACTAACTCCAATCCCCACCAGACCCTCATAGACAGGCTCCTTGTGTCTTATATTAAACAAAAGGCAAAGTGAAGTCCTCCTGGCTGCAGAGTTGCACAGGCTGGTGTGTCCATGTATATGAACCTGATATCTCGTGCGTGGTGAGCTAACAGTGCATTTCCTCTACTGCCTTGATGTTGGAGCCTATAAGAGATACGTCCATCAGTGGCGACCCCAGACCTGCTGAGTTGGAGGCAACACCATTCCAAATCCTTCTCCAGCTTGCTGAGTGTTCCTCCAAATCTGAGAGCGTGAAATGGAGATAGAGAAGTGTCTTCATTTTACAGTACTGGGATTGCTCATTTGAGAATCCCACGCTATGGAATTCAGGTCAGAAGGGAAAGCACTGGTACATAAACTAGCTGAGAAATGTCAAGCCACAGAACCCATTGATTCTGTACGGAATGAGTAGGTATGAGGAGTGCCATGAACTTTTACTAAGTTGAAATAGATTTTTCCTTAAATGGCTGTATTTTTAAAAGTATAAAATACCATAAGCATTAAGCAGTAATGTATTTTATTCCTACCACAGATTTTTAAGCCATTGGGGCTTTACATAGAAGATAAAACTGCTAAATATGAAAAAATATATAAAATCACTTAGGCCTTTAACTTGTTTTACTAATGTAAGTCGAAACTCTTTTGTTTTAACTTTAGAATATAGATTTTACTACATTTGAATCCCATCCTTTCTTTGCTACCACATATTAGCAAGGTCATCTACCATTCATCTCTGAGTTTTTTATTTCCCCTTGAAAAAATGTGTACTTAAAATACTAACCATATTTCTAACTACAGTAGAGAATACTAAAAATCTACTTTAGGGTGATACTAAGTCATCATCATTCTGAGATACTTCAAGGACACACCAGGTGTGACACAGAAGGAAGAATATCGATTTTGGAAACAGGTTCCAAATATAAAGAAAAAATATTTTGAAATGAAAAGTGAAACATTACAATTCACATTAAAGTCCAGTTACTAAACTTGCATGTTTTACCTATATGATGTGTTTTTATTTATTATATGTTGATTTATATGCAGTTATTATGTATTGATTTATTGTCATTTTTTCCTTTCTTGAATTCTATTCAATTGATCCTCTGGGAAAAAAATTTGCATTTATATCTGGCCATTCAGGAATTATAATTAATTTATAATTATAAATAAATGAATAAAATAAAAACACAAATAATACCATTTTGACCAGTGTTTAATATGGCCAGACTCAGGAAGCAGTTCTATGCAGAGCACAATATTTGAAATGTAAAAAAAAAAATCTTTTCTTCTCCCTTTACCAGTGTCACTATACATCCAGTATATGTTAGAAGCTAAGAGTGCAAAGAAATAAATACCTGGTATGTGTAAGAATATTTTTTAGCAATAGTATTTAAAGCTGCTATTATATCCATCCAGAAACGGAGTGACAAAGTGTGTAAGTGATTGATATGATCAGAGCCCAAGTACTTTCCATACGCTGCATTTCGCTCATAAAGATGCACTAATTCGCCTGCAACTAGGAGTAAATCAAGTCACCGTGAGAACAGTGTTTTTTAATTTTTTTATTGCTCTGCCACCCAGGCTGGAGTGCAGTGGCGCGATCTCAGCTCACTCAGCGCGATCTCTGACCTGGTGATCTGCCCGCCTCGGCCTCCCCAAAGTGCTGAGAGAACAGTATTTTTTTGTCATGGATCAGGGGAAAACACTGCAGACATTTTCATGTCAGTAAAGATGTGTCAGATGCAGGGGCAGAAAACAGCTGGGCTTGACAGACAGGCAGAGGTGGGGATGTTAAAATAGGGCAAGAGTGGAACACAGGAGAGCCCTGAGCTTTTTAGGAATGGGGTGAAAGCTTTTGAGAGAAATCAACCAACTACAGAATGGATCCGAAACAGAAAAACCAGAAAGAAGGTGGGGGAATGTAGACAGTAACATAGAAGACAAGGCTGTGAACCTTCTGACCTTTAGGGGACAGAAGGTCGTCTACTGACGAATTTTTGTTACAGAAAAAAATTAGACTGTTTATATTTATTCCCTGTATTAGTCAAAATGTGAAACAAAGATGATATGATAGAAAGTAGGTAGGGTGGTGCTTGGTAATAAATATGAACTGTATAGAAGGTAAGCTTGAGTCCATACATGTATACATAATTCTTTTTAGATTTTTAAAAAGAATTATGTAGTTTTTAAAAAAAGAATTTAAAAAAGAATTATGTATGATACTTCTTATCATATCATCTTTGTTAGGCCGGGCATGGTAGCTCATGCCTGTAATCCCGGCACTTTGGGAGGCCGAGGCAGGCAGATCACCTGAGGTCAGGTGTTCAAGACCAGACTGACCAACATGGCCCTGAAACCCCGTCTCTACTAAAAATGCAAAAAGTAGCTGGACGTGGTGGTGTGTGCCTGTAATTCCACCTACTTGGGAGGCTGAGGCAGGAGAATCACTTGAACCCGAGAAGCAGAGGTTGCAGTGAGCCAAGGTCGTACCACTGCACTCCAGCCTGGGCAACAGAGTGAGACTCCATCTCAAAAAAATAAAATAAAAAATAAAAATAAAAGGAGAATGCTAATCAACAAATCTCCCTTTCCTGAAGCGTTTTAGAAGAAAGATGTTTACATTGATTGAAACTGATCTCTCACATTGTCAAGCCAGAGGTAGCAGTATCATATAAATAATAGGCAAACCTATAGAAATACACATTTATAAGCTATTTATGTAGACACAAAAGATAGGTATCTAGTAAGACATATACAAATAAAAAGAATTATTCCTAAGGCAGACTAGAAAGAAGTCATAAAACATAACTATGATAGGAAAATTCTAGATTAATTTTCCAGAAGCAGAGATATCTGGGAAAAAGTAAGCTGTCATATTGTTTAGCAAAATTTTCAAGAGAAATAATTTCTACTTCTTTCAAATCATAGCATACATATGCTTTATACCATAAATGATAATATATCATATGGTAAAAGGCAATGTTTCTTTAAAAGGTGGTTCACAGAGCCGGGCACGGGGGCTCACGTCTGTAATCCCAGCATTTTGGGAGGCCAACGCGGGTGGATCACAAAGTCAAAAGTTCCAGAGCAGCCTGGCCAACATGGTGAAATCCCATCTCTACTAAGATCACAAAAATTAGCCAGGCGTGGTGGCGCGTGCATGTAATCCCAGCTACTCGGGAGGCTGAGGCAGGAGAATTGCTTAAACCCAGGAGGTGGAGGTTGGAGTGAGCCGAGATCGCACCACTGCACTCCAGCCTGGGTGGCAGAGCAAGACTCCACCTCGGGGGGCGGGGGGCGGGCGGGGAGGGAAGGGGAAGGTGGTTCACAAACTATTAGGTTGCCTATCACTTTTAATGGCAAAAACTACAATTATTTTTATGCCAACCTAATACATAACTCTGAATTCCCA